CATAACAAATAAAAAAGGCTCCATTCCAAACTGTGACAAAAAAAAAAAAAAAACCTAAACCCAAAATTCTAGAGAATGGTTAGGTATAAAGTAACTATTATTTCGGAAGTGGAGGAAATACAGATGAAAATAAAAGCAGAAGGCTGAGACAACTAGAGGTATACTCTAGCATCTCATAACAGAGAATGAGATTCAGAAAGAAGACTGAAATCATTAGAAATAACACAAACAGTAGCACAAAGCTGCTGACTGTTCATTTGCTTACAGATGTAGTTGCATTATATAAACTGTATCAACTCACACATGCGATGCTGCTTTCGCTTGCCCAGGGCTGGGCTCACAGGTATCACCATCTGTAGTAGGAAACATCTTCAGACCTATATGACCTGCTTCTTAACACCTGAGACAGGAATGGGAGCTTTCACAGAAAAGGATGAAAGGTACTGAAACTTTAAACTACAACACTGAATGATACAGAAGAACAAAGTTTTCATATTGCAGAATAAAAATTATTTTAGCTTAAAGGATAATAGCTAATTAATTACTAAAATGAAGTGAACAAGTAGACTACAGGAAATTTTTAAGAAAGAGGTTTCAAAATTTATTTTTAGCACTTTGGAAAGGGTTCAATAAAGTATTTGTGCAAGCATGAGACCAGAGTTCATATCCTTACACCCATAGAAAACTTTTGAGCACTGTGGTGCATGCCTATGGACAAGGGGATCCCAATAGTTTGCTAACTAGTCAGTCTAGCTGAATTAGCAAGCTTCCACTATCTGTCACACACAAAAAATAATGTGGAGTATTACTGAGGAAGAAATGTGGCATTGACCTCTGGACACATTTAAACATGTTTAAACACATGCCCTTGTACACACATAAGTATATACATGAACACATACACATGCATACATCACACACACACACATTTATTTTCTATTGATCCTCTGGTGGCTCCAATGAAGAAGGACATATATCAAACAACTAAGACAGTCTCAGAGTGATAGAGAGGTAGCCCAACAAGAAAGGGGCAGGTGAAGTTTGGAAGAGTCTACAAGAAACCAAACAGATGAAGAACTTTGGCCAGGAGATCATCTGGTTAAACTTCATCATATTACAAAATTACTGAAAGACAATGGAAATTCAAAATATCCATTATTATAAAGGACATAAAAATTAAAAATTAAAAAGTTATCAATTCTCATTTTTCATTACATCCAAATCCTAACTTCTACAAATACTACTGCCACCAAGTGCATCGCATCAATTATGCTCAATGAGTAAAACGTATATAATAGCTCTATTTATGGGTTCTTCATCTGTGGATTGATTCATCATAGATAAAAATATATTTTAAAACATTTACTCTACAATGAACATGCCCAGACAGACATTTTCCTTATTATTTCCTAAAAATATAGTGTAACAACAAATATTCCCATTGTACTAGGCATTGCATGTATTCCAGAAGTGATTTAAAGCACACAGAAGGATGTGTGTTGGTTGGATACAGAGATCAAGGTATTTTTATAAGTGACATGAGCACGCCTAAATCTTGCTATGCTAATGGAGGAGGTATTTCATCTGGTCTCCGGGTCCAGTCAGTACACATTCTGCCCATCATCAGAATTCTCAGGTTCCAGTAAGACCTTCTGATGAAAAGACAGAGGGCTCAAAGCAACTTATGCTTTAACAAGATTCTAAAACATGAACTGTTTTTACTTTACAGATCAATAAATAGCTCTTAAAGCAGTGATTCTCAATCTATGGGTGGTCAAGACCCCCATGGGGAGGTCAAAAGACCCTTTCACAGGGGTCGCCTAAGACTAGTGGAAAACATAGATATTTACATTATGATTCACAACAGTAGCAAAATTACAGTTACAAAGTAGCAATGAAAATGATTTTATGGTTGGGGGTCACCACGACAAGAAGAACTGTGTTAAAGAGTCAGAGCATAAGGAAGGTTGGGAAGCACTGTACTAAAGTGTTTCCCAAACACACTTGGTTTAGTTGTGGTTATTTTGTGAAATTAGGCCTCACTGTGAAGCCCAGGCTTGAACTCATAGTTTGCCATCTCAATCTCCAGAGACCTCCACACCCAGCTCTCCTCGACAGTACAACTCAATCAGCCAAAGCAGGAAAAGTAAGGAGTCAGTGAGGTATCTCCTTAAACTCAAAATGATTTGTTTTAAATCTATTATTATTTCAGTGTCACTACTTTCCTATACACACAGTAACAGAAATGCCTTACAAGACTGGGGGTCGGGGGAGGTAATTAAAAACAACAAACTCAGTAATTCACAAATTATACAGACGTTGAACCATTAATGTGTGGATATATGATAAACTTTCTTAGCTGAGTTATGTATTATGCAATTGAACACTATTAAACACTAAAAACATGAACCCTGGAGACCGCATAAGCACTTACAGGAAGTGATTTGATTGGCACCATTCCTCCCTAATGAAATCCTAATATATATTTTTATAGTTGAGTTCTAAATGCAAGGGATGGAACACCTATCATTTTCTGATCATGACATATGGATTCCAGGAAATTCTGGAGAACTCTTAGATGACCAACCTCACACTCCCACCTTGGCCACAGTGGAGCCATAGACTAAAACATAGTATTTTTCATAAAATGCTTAGATATGGCTTCCCTGCTGGAGAGGATTAGAGCAACAGAAAACTGAACACATTCAAATATTTATTGTTTGATTTTGTAGTTGTGTATCCAAAATGTATTTCCAATTTTGATTACAAAATGTATTGTCAGTTTTAGAACGTGGCCCTAGAAATTCCAAACATATATAAATAACCTAGTAAGAATACACACTGCACAGAGATGATAATGTTTTTCCTATAAAATATTAAAATTGACTTTCATAACTGTATGAAAAAGGACAGGAAAAAGCAAATAACTACAGTTCACCTTTTCTATACTATGGAAACCTTTCTTGACATGAAATTTCAGTACATAATGAAATAAAAACAGAGCTACCAAGTTTAACAGCTAAGAATGGGGCCGCACCTTCCTCCTCACAGGTCTTCCTCTGCCTGCTTCCCTAAAAATGCCACACATCCTCCCTGTCCCCAGAGCAGTCAGAACAAGCGAAGATAAAGAGCAGCAAAAGTAACTATCTGGATTTGAAGATGATATGTATTTTTAGAAATTCATGATAAAATTCACACAATAAATTTCATATTTAAAAATAAAGAGAATGTAACCAGCTAAAACTAGATCTTAGACGTGCCATATATTTAGAATCTGTTGTTTCTTTTCAAAGAACCATGATTTACTATGGTTGAGAAATCAAAGCAGAAGTATATTGTTATACTTAAAACACTATTCCCACATAAGGGAAAAGATGACTTACTATCCTAATGTTATTCGAAAAGACTGCACACATCAATGGCCTATTCAAACAAAGACATTTCCCCCCACTCAAGATAGGGATTCTTTGTGTAGCCTTGGCTGTCCTGGAACCCTGTCTGTATGTAGACCAGGCTGGCCTTTAACTCACAGAGATCCACCTGCCTCTACCTCCCAAGAGCTGGAATTAAAGGTGTGCATCACCACCACCTGGCTTGAGACATCAGACAGTTTCCTCCATTTGCATTTACCTGAAAACCCTATCAGCAAATGCTCTACAACAGGCAAAGCAGGTGACCTAGAGCAGAGTGAGAAAATCACATGAAACATTTCACCAAGGACTCACTGCTGAGAGCTCCTGATTCCTTTACTACTATTTTCAAATACTTACTGGATTGTACACACAGTTTGGAAATAATGTTCTCTCTAAAACACACAGACACTCACTGTGTTATAACCACAAGTGAGAGCCCTGGACAGAGAGTTCACCACCTTTAACGTAAAATGAGAGACAGTAAAAAACACTAATTCCTGTGTTATTTTAGTATACACTTCAATTTATTAAATGAATATTTAGTTGCCCTGATTTCTTAACTGAATAAGCAGTTACTTCAATTTTTCTAAAACCACAATTAAAGTTAGCAACAAAATAAAAGTTACATGTTTCTTTGCTTTGCACATTTGTGACAAGTGGATAAACAATTAAGAAACTCAATATGCGGCATTTTGAGGACTTGTAAAATCTATAACAAAAATATTCTCTAGGATTTGCCTTAACTATTACTATGATATTGAGAGCAACAAAAAACTGAACACATTTAAATATTTATTGTTTGATTTTGTAGTTGCGTATCCAAGATGTATTTCTAATTTTAATTATAAAATGTATTGTCAGTTTTAGAAATAAAATGGAAACATGGACGCACATACTATTTCTACATACCTTTTCCACCTTAAATGTTTTATACAATATGACACTTTTACTTGTTTCATGTAAAAGAAACTCATCCTTTGTGATAACTGGCTGCTCACTGTGTAACTTAAGAAGGAGACATTCAAACAATAGCTGAACATTAGAACAACTCTGGACTAGAAAATGACTTATGAAATATGAAATTCTGACATTTTATATGTTTGTTTAACCTTAAAACATTTTATTTGTGGGCATCAAAATACTTTTTAAATGCCAAAAAAATTTACTTATTCTACTTTTGCTCACCAGATTCTCCGAGATCATCAAGTTTCCTTTAATTTCTACCCTTACTAGTTTAATTTTTAACCTAAGCAAAGCTTTCCAACTGCAGACATGTTTTGTTTTTCTGTCAGAAGTATTTTCATTGTTGATGACTATATGATATAATAGTTAAACTCATAGTTCATATAGTTAAACAAAGAAAACAGAGAAAGTATTCATTTTAAAGACATTTAAACCTTTATGTTCTTAATACTCGTATATTTTCCCACATTACTACAAAATAATAAGCATCATATAAGTAAGGTAAATAATGAGTTAGTAATAAGATTATGTGTTGAATATACTTATGCAAAAGACATAATAAAATTATAATATGCAATAAACAGAACTATAAAATACCCCCCAAACAAAGGAAGTTTCACTTACATCCACAGCTCTCTTAATAAAAGGTATCTGTGTGCCACTGTCCAGATCTTCATTAATAATAAGCCTTCTAGCCCACTGACCTGCCCTGACAACACCACTACCATGAATTAAAACCATCAGTTTCTGTGGATTTGTCAAAGCATCCTCACTCATAAAGATAAAACTCTTTGGTTCACTGTCAGTGGCATCTACCTGTAATCAAAAAAAATTAAATAATAAATGAAATGTTTCTTGAACATACACACAATGAGAAAACAACTAATGGCTACTACAAATTATTAAATGTGTATTACAGAATTATTAAAAAAACTTAAATTAGAAGATAGTCAAGAACATCTAGCAATCACATATTCAGTGGAAAGCAACACAAGACAGTAATTTAAATATAAAAACACATGAAAAAGAATAATTAAAACATGCATTCATACATTTTATTATATACTTAGTATTGTATTACCATCTAAAACTAAAATAACTAATTTTTAAAAGCTTCCTGTAGTTCAGATATTATCCAACTGTTCTTTTCACCCACATTTACTCACAATCCATTTGAGGAGTCACTACCATAATAATCATCAATAAATTAAGAAATTACATTTAAACAAACAAGTTATAGCTTATATTGCATGTAGTCTATAATTCTATAACTGAAGCATATAGCACCTATAATAGAAAATGGAAAACCCATAGCTACTTAAATACAATAGTAAAAACAGTGTAAATATTCAGATTGCATACATGGGCACACACAACAGTAACCTGTACATTCTGACAGCTTATCTATGTATCAGTTACTAATGCATTACTAATAAACAGGTGCTCAGCTAGATTTCAAAAATACAAGAAATATCAAGGAATGCCAATTTCTGAACCTTTTATGACATGTACAGCAAGCTCTGTGCTGGTCTACACAGTAATGTCTGGTACTCAGAATGAAAGCCATATACAACCAGGCTGAAACCAGAACTGACAACTAGGAATGTGTCCTCCACCCACAACCACACACATAAGTGATCAATCTCTTGCTCATACTGCACCAGCTCGTCACTCCAGCAACAATGTATCTTCATACACTTATCAAAGTTAGAACCACACACACATTCTATTCCACAAAATGTTGGAATTCAATGTAAAATTTAAAAATCTAAATTTTCCCAGTTATTCACAATGCACAGGAATAGAAAAATAAACCTACTTTACTTTTAAAGCAATATTGATCTCATTACCTAATTCTGCTATTTGTGTAAACAGAACACAAAAAGCAACTGAATTAGTAGGAATAGCATGGGCTGAGTTTAAGAATGGTTACTAGTGCTCAGCAAAGCCTTTCGTGTCTACAATTAACATTCAAACATTTCACCATGAGTTCTCTAGTCCCTTTCACTGTCTTATTCTGCTTCATAACACATATGGCAATCAAACACAATGCATTCATTTATTCACAGAGCGATAGATAGATAGATAGATAGATAGATAGATAGATAGATAGATAGATAGATAGATAGATAGATAGACAGACAGACAGTCAAATAGATGATAGATGTGTGTGTGTGTGCACACACGCGTGTGTGTGTGTGTGTGTGTGTGTGTGTGTACTCATTCATCCTCTGCTCTCTCCACTACAATGTAATCCTAAGAAGTAATATTTTATAATTTATATTCAGCTACATTCTCAGTCTAGAACAGGGTCTAGCATCTTATAGGTACTCAGTAAATAAAGAACAAACTTTTGAAATATGGAATCTTACTATTGGTGATATCCTTTAGATGCAAAAAATTTAAAAAATTCAGAGTATTAAAAATCTATAATACACAAAAACTAAAGAAATTCTAAATATAACATAACAATAAAATTTTAAAATGGACTAGAGATCCAAATAAAGAGTTCTCAAAAAAAGACATTAAAAATGACTGATAAATATTTTTAAATGTGTTAAACATCAATAGCCATCAGGGACATGCAAATTAAAACTATTGTCAATTCTATCTCATGCCAGTCAGAATGGTTATTATTAAGAAAGCAAATATCAACAAATGCTGTAAAGGATGTGGTCAACAATACTTATTCACTGTCAATTGGAATTCAAACTGGTACAGCCACACTAGAAGTTAAAAAAAAAAAAAAAAGCTAGAAATAGAACTAACATATGACCAAGCTATAACAGTCCTGGGTATGTAGTTAAAAGAATTCTATATCCTACTACATGGTGGGATGTTGGCTCACCATGCTAGTGCTGCCCTATTCACAACAGCTAGGAAATGGAATCGGCCTAGAATAACTAAAATATGGTATGTATACACAATGGAATTTTATTCACCTCTAAAGAAAAATAAGATTTGTAGGTAAATGGATAGAACTGGAAAAAATATATACTGAGTGAGACAACCCAGGCATAGAAGGACAATGCCACACGTTCTCTCTCATATGGAGATCCTAGCATTGATCTTTAGATTATGTTTTTAAATACCTTAGAAATAAGAAAACTAGACAAGGACAGCAGAACAGGGGATTCCTTAAGGGAGGAAGGGACAGCAGAACATAAATGATAAAGCAGAAGCAGAGAGGGAGCATCAGAGAGTGGGAATGTTTTGGCAGGGAAGGGTGGAGGATGGTGGAGATGATAGGGTAAGGGAGCAAAATTAAACAAAGTGAAAGGGATATGAAAACCCACATGGAAATAACTTTTAATTAGTGTATAAAGGCTTATAATATTTTTGAAAGAACTAGAAGGAGATGCTCTGCATAGTCACATAATGTCCATAAAAGCCCAGGGTTGTTAAACAAAATTGCCAGTGACAGATGTGAAATACTTCCTTATGAATTATTGGTCAGGAAAGTCCTTGGAGACCCTGAAAACCATACAGGTTCCTCTTAGTTATCCACAAGAACTAATTAATAATGCCCTATCGCTGAAGACAGGACACAACACTCATTACAAAACAGACTGACCAAGAAAGAAATGAACCGGAAGCTTCTTCCCTGCTGCCTAGCTTTCAGAATCCTGAAAGGCACTGTGAAAGCTCCTGGGGAGGAAATGGCATTAACCATCCTAACAAGATAGGAGCCCTACAAACTCTAGTGCTGACCTGCTAGGCAAGATATGTCCACCGGTGCAATGGCGGCACATCTGTTATTGGAATGACCAACCAGTCTCTGATTGGATCTGGGTTCTCCTCCACAGGAGGAGATTCATGCCCAGTAATTCAAAAAGACGGAGGCTGGGAGGGTCTGAGGCCTTGGAGGATGGGGAGGAACTTACTATTGTTGTGTAGCTATACTGACATGGCCTCCCACTGCCTTATAACTATGTATACCCTCAGACAAATACCATTCTCCACCTTAATCAGAGAAGCTTCTCTTTGCAATGAATAGCAGTGAATGCATAAACTCCTAGATGCTCTAGGTTTGAGAATAAGTGGCAGCTGATTGCTCAGCCCTAAACAGAGTATTGGTGCCACCCTATCTAAGTTTCAGGAAACATTGCAGAGGTGAAACAGGAATATACGAGCCAGAAGGCAAGTGTGAAATACTATCTTCTGAAAATGACACAGCCACAGCAATCATAATCCCACAACAGCTGAGGCCGTCTCCTCTGATCCTACACAAGTCTGGACATGTGACTTAATCATGTACATGGGGTGGAGGCTCATGGTGTCCCATTGCTACCTATAGAAGCATTTAATACTGGTGGATTGTGGAGAGAGGCAGCCATTATCTGCAGCTGTAGACCCCCAGGTGAGCCCACCAGGATCGAATGGAAAGTTCCAAGCTGACAGTCACAAAGAAGCCCTTGATAAACCAAGTTCCCCAACAGTACAATTGTCATGCTTGTCTGAGGTAGGGTCTTGTGTAGCTAGACTGGCCTCAAGCTTGCCACAGAATAGAAGACAACCCTGAACTCTTTCTTAATCCCCCTGACTCCAACTCCATGTGCAAGGATAATAAAAAGTTACCACCACCCCCAGATCTCAATCAACATTTTAAGCAATGGAAAATTACTCCTTTGAATTCCAGCATAATGTCTTTACAACTAGAGGAACAATTATTTTTGAAGAAAAAAAAACAAACTATTAATTCAACTCAAGAACTTTTGAGATTAAAGATGAAGGAGGCCATGAACAAACTACTTAAGCAGTTGGAAAGCTGATTGAAAATGTGTGAAATTCAAAGTAGAAAAGACAACAATGAAGACAAACAAAGCACAAAGAAATGCCAGTAATGAAATGGCAAGAGTGATATGTGAGCGAGTCATTGGGCGGCACTGACCACAGTAAAGCAGAAAACTGACTCTGAACATGATAAATGCATTTGCTCTGTGTAAGTTAGTGCTAAATTTATATAGCAAAGTATCTACATGAATAAAATAGTTTTTCCTCACTATCTCAACAGTTTGGAAATGACTACAACAAGGATGTTTACCTGCAAACACTGGCAAGCAACTGAGCTAAGCCTTTTAAAAACAAAACACAAAAGCCAATTCCAATACACTTGAATTTTCATGCCCCCAGACCAGTGAGGCTACACTGAATAATTTTTAGTGTTTAGCAATTCACTGAGGAATTGTTAAACAACAAACAGTGGTGTTTCACTTAAACAAGATGAAATTTTTATAGAGAAGTCATTAAGGTAACATACAACTCTAACAGCCTACATGGTGTGGAGATGCCGCAAGTGAGAACATTTTCTGCTTATTATCCTATGCTTGAGCAGAACATAAGCATGATCCTGACATTGACTGTCAATCACGTGTTTCCCAAAATGCTGCCACATTATGTAACGTGACCATTTAGAAAAGACAGCATTTTTTAATTTACAAAGGGAAAATTATTAAGCAAAAATAAACACATTGCTAATTTCATGTCTTATATAACATGAATTTCTCTAAACTTAATTTGTACACTAAATTTAAAAAGAGAATTTCAAATTTATAAAACAAAGTTCTCTAATTTCATGTTTTCTTTATAGAAAATTAATGAAGTTCCATCATAAAACACTCTCAATGACAAAGGCAATTGTGATTTGTGCTTTAAATCTAAAGACCAAAGTATGATTAAAGGTTTCCAAAGAGCCAGAGATATTACAGTCAAAGGAAAAAATATCAATGGTAACAATGGATTAAATTAACACTGTCTAAATGTCCTTCTTCAGAAACTGAATAAAGAGATACAATCTTACTTTAACTTCCACAAATAACAAATGTACACAGGTTGTTTGCTTGCTTACTTTGAGACTCACCATGTAGCCTCAGCAGGCCTGGAACTCAATATGAAGACCAGGCTGTCCTCATCTACCCACTAAGTTCTAGGACTAAAGGCATGTGCCGAGGTAGGCAACTTCCATGTACAGTTTTTACAGAATAAGAAAGTACGCCTGAAGTTGAGAATTCTGACTCCCCACAGGATAGCCATAATGACTGTCACAAAGATGCTAAAATTTAGGCTTCCGTGCTTTTCTAAAAGAAGCTGTTTCAAACTAGAACAAGATATGGCTTATCTATGGCATGTAATAATGTTTTCTTTATTATTACATTACAAGTACGAAGAGTGTTTACAACTTAAAGAGCTAACTTCAATAAGCACTTACTGAGCTGAGTGAATCAAAGAATGAATAACATTATTATTGATCACTAGAGGTTATATTTAGAAAATTAAATAAAAAATAGTTTTTAGTAGGACTATGCAATCAAAGATGAGAATCTAAACAATTAAGATATATTCAAACTCCCTAATAACATGACCCAAGATATCTAAAAATCCTATGTGAAAGTTCACAGAAATTACCTATGTGCAAAGGTTTATATATTAAATAAGTCAATTTCATTGTCATCTGGACTCTTAAATCATAAAATGAAAGAGTTGTCAGGAAGAGCAAAATTTATCTGATCTACACCAATCAACATTTTACATGTATGATGACCACTTCTTCATTTTAAAAGCTTAGCACTTCATGATTTAAATTAAAAATACATATATGCATGCAATAAGAATTAGGAAAAAGGGACCCATATATTAAAAAAAAAGAAGGGTCTGCATATATTGGAGTATCTGGAGGGAGGAAAGGGAAGAGAGCAATGCTGTAATTAGATTATAAACTCAAAAAAAGATAGAAGTTCTGTTTAGAATTTGAGTCTAAGAACAGATTCCAAACTTTTTCTTCCTTTTGGTTGTTTGAGACAGAGTTTTTTTTTGTATAGGCCTGTTTGTCGTGGGACTAGCTCTCTAGACCAGGCTAGCCTTGAACTCACAAAGATCTACCTGTCTACCTCCCCAGTGCTGGGATAAAAGATGTGAGCCACCAGTGCCCAACTTAAAATTTTGTAATTCCAAAAGAAAAGGTGCAAAATTCCTCAGTCCTCTAATAAAGAAGAAAGAAGCAGTATTGAAAAAGAGGACTGACTTTGGGAATGCAGAGAAAAAGAAACATTTTTGTGGAAATAAGGGCTGAAGAGATGTCTCAGTGGTAAGAGCAGCACTGGTGGCTGTCCCAGACAGCCAGGGTTTGATCCCTAGACCTACACATGGTTACAACTGTCCAAACTCCAGCTCCAGGGAATCTGATGCTCTCTTCTGGCCTGTGCGGGCACCAGGAATGCATGTGTTGCACAAAAATATATGCAGGCAAGACCCTAATTAAAATATAAAATTGAGAAAGAAATTAAATGAAAAGAAGTTTCAAAGAATCAAGCAATACTTAAGGAGTTAATGAATACCTATTACAATGTGAAGCACACTGATTTATATGAAACAAATAAAAACATTCAGGTGGAAGAAGACAAGGTGAAAGAGAACCCTCTCTGTCATCATGTTAAAAACAGACTGGAAATCATCACTGTTCATTGTTTACATTGATAGCATTACTTTGTAAGAATTAGTACAAAAGAGTAAGGTTACCTACAGGCAGTGAATTGCCAGCAGCAACACAGGAGCACATTTAACCCACAACAAAAATTTTCTCCTAGATTGAAAACCATTTTACATGGAAAAAAGCATTTTATTTGGGATAAATACTTTTGAAAATTGAACTTACGGGAATAGAGATTTTTTGCAAATTGCAGTCCTTTTCCAGGAGCTCATAGACATATTTTGTGATGATCTAAGGAAGAAATAAATAAAATATTAAGATTCAATATCATCCACTATCAAGATACATTTGTTTTGATAAACTATTGAAAGTTATTGCTCTAAGTAATTATCTCTTCAAATTTTCTCCTTTGAAAGTTCTGGTATCACACAGACTCTTCCTAAGCAGTGGAATGTGCTACTTTCTGCTGCTATGTGGATGGCTACGAAGGGTTAGAATGAGTTTTACAAATTCACAGAAAACACTTAAGACTTTCTCCTTGGGAAATGAATATTTTGCAGCTTTGAAGTGTTTTTAGAAACTGTTCCTCCTACAATTTCTCCATAGGTGTTATAGCTAATGTAATTTCTCAAGGGATTGGAATCTTCACACCCATTTGAGCAAGAAAGAAAAGTATATGAGAAGTATTATGAGCAGAAAAGGAAAATCAATCCAATCAATGCTGTGTTTATGAGAGTCAAGAAACATGGTCTCTACAAAGATGTCTACATCCCAACTCCTGAACATTTGCATGTGTTAGGTTACATGGTAACAGACCTGCACATACATTGTTGTTAAGGACCTTGAGAAAAAGATTTACTGGGATTAACGAGGTGGGTCAAATCAAATCATTTATGTTCATAAAAGTGGAAAGTTAAAGAAGTATAATGTGTTGCAGATATGACAGGTAGGAAGGACTCAACTGGATTGGCTGGGTTTGAAAGTTAAGAAGAGCACAGGCCAAGAGCTATGTTCTCTGAGGACCTGTAGTTGGCTGCCAATACAAACATGAGAGTTCAGTGTCATCCATGCCAATAACACAAAAACAGGAGGACACCAATTCTTCCCAGCCTAAAACTGACTATCCTTCCCTTCATTTCACTCTGGTGCAGCTCCTACTGGACTTCTGACCCACAGAATTACAGGATAATAAATTTGTATTGCTTCTAGCCATGAAACTAATGATAATTTGTTAGAGCAGCAATATGAAATATATGATTTATTTGGTAGGCAATAAGCAAGGATAGGTAGGCCTGGAATAGGAGCAAATATTTAATAGGCAGTTTGAATGGTCATTGTAAGAGTGTTTCTCCTCCTGAAGACATCTGTAGTTCCTATAGTCAAAATACCTCACATACTAATTTCAGTGGCAACCTATGTCAATTTTTCTGAAACAAAATGAGTTTTTTTAAATAACATTAAGATGTTGATTGCTTTGGTGTCATATTCATTAATCTAAAACAGATTCTTTAGCCCACTTTCTTTAACAAAGTTAAAAGTCTTATGTACATACATACATTCATTTTATCTCAGAAATAGTTGCATAGATGTGAAAAATGACTGGTAACAGTCATTTCAAAACCTATAACACATTAAACTAAACTATCTAGTTACTAGTCTAATCATATCTCTTTACTTAACATGATAGCTAATACTATGTTCCCTATAATTTCACTGGAAGACAGTGACAATATACACTCTAGAGAACATCAAAAACATGTAAATTCAGATTTAAAAGCATATATGAAGCAATAATACAGTGGCCTATCACTTCAAGAGAAATGACTTAATTGAGATTAACTAAAATTACTGGTTTGACACTCATGAAATCTTTAGCGTATTGTTATACACAAAGGGACAACAAAATAAATTAAATCTGCATGCAAATATCTGAGACATAATTTGAGAAAAAGGTAAGATTTTTGATAATTAAACCTTATATCAATATAAACTATAGAACCAGAAATAATTCTTTATTTTGATATTATAATTCAAATATTCTAAATTTGCTTATATTTGGCCTCAAAGACAAGTGTCTACTCTGGAACTTATACTATATCAAACCACATAATAAAACCATGTATCCACTAAGAGAGAAATACTGCCTGTGATGGACAGTTTTGGTTGTCAGCTTGAATCCATGTGAAATCAACTAAAACCCAAGCTGTTAGCAACCTCTATGAGGGATTTTCTCCATACTCTCTGTGAGGGTCCATCCTCTCTGGCAGCACACATAAAAGGCTGTGGAAGAAGGAAACTGCTTTATGCCCACTTTCCCTCACTCTTGTTGGCACGTTTGTCTTTCCTGTTGCTGTGGTCAATATTAAATACTTCGTCTTCAGAATGACAATGTAACCGATGACCACCAGCTCTCCAGGAATCCTCCATGACTCCAGCACCTGAATGAGACTGCTGAAGCATCTGTCGTTGAGAAGTGAACACCTCCCCGATTCTCTGCTGTTCCACTGTTGTTATCCTATAAGGTAGTCCAATAAGTCCTCTGTCCTACACACATTCATTCTACCGGCTCTAACCCTCTAGGAAACCCTAATACACTACCTCGCTTGCCCACTTTCCTTTGCTCACTACTTGCTGTCTTCACAAGTATAGGAAGAGCAGACTGGAGAAGACTGTCCTCTTACTCTAGGTGCCCTCTCAGAGACAGACCACATGGCAACCATTTAAGGACACAGTTTCTCAGCACAATTCCCTCTGAACATGACGGAGGACCATTATTTAACACACTAGTCTAACACTATTCCTGTCGTTACATTAGTCGGTCCTGGGACAATGTCATGGCGCTTCAGCCCTCTTTGAATATTCAGGATATTTTAAGGTGAGAAATGAGTTTTCCTCTGTGTCCATTCTCTCTACATTGTTGGGCAGAGAGAAACATTTCCAGTTTGAAAACACCTCTTCTACTTGCTCAATCAAGGGTTTGGAAGGAAGCATTCAGGATGCACTCATTGTTTTCCAGATTACATAGGATTGTAGTCTGCGGTTTAAAAAAAATGAAAAGATTCATTTTAAAAAGATGAAGTACTGTTAGAATGTTGTTGAGGTTTGAATATTACCTGGAAACTATGTCTAACGGTGGGAAGAAAGGGATTAAGAGACGAAACATACTCTAAACTTGTATCTTCTTTCTAATAAATGGTGGAATATCCAGTTTCCACCTAGCACATAAAGAGTCAAAAGTAGTTACTTGGGACCTCAGAAACAGATTTCAAACAGATACTGAACAAACTGAAAGCCATCAACATTCTTGGCTCCAACAGAGACTGGGGACATAGGACACACAGCTTCCCTGAGCACTGGGCAGAAGGGCAGGAAGCGGAGGAGAACCAACACACCGAGACAAAGGCCCAGCAGAGATCTTTCATGGCAGCAGGAGCAGAGCGGAAACATCTCTGAAACTCTAATGGGCTCTTTTCTAGGGCCTCTGTCTGGATTTCAAAGCTAAGAATAGGCTCAATTGGCCTAAAAGTGGGGATGGCAAACTTGAGTTACCTCAAGAAACCCTGTACACTATGTACTTAGAAATAAGTCTTTCTGATTCTCCTGGGAGAGAGGAGCCGCAAATTTTAAATATTCTCCAGCTTTCTAACTTTCTTAATAAGACATAATTTCAAGGGAAACTATTTTAGCAGAGCCTCACTGGTCTATAAGGACATGCCTAACCTGTATCCCTTAAAGAACTAAAAGACGACCATGGACATAAAGATATGAGAGGAAAGAGGCCAAAACCTCACCTCAGACAACCCAATGGTAGCCAACAGATCTGAGATACGACAATTTGTCTTGATAGTGGACTTGATCAGATTTAGAGTCACCTAGGAACCAGACCTCTGGAGGTGTCGGGGAGGGGGTTTCTAGAGAGTTTTAATTGAAGTTAGAACATCCGTGCTAAATACAGGAAGCACATTCCATGGGCTAAGGTCGCAGACTGAATAAAAGGAGAAAACAAGCTGAGTGCCAGCTCCTACCTCTCTCCTGCTTCCTGACTAGAGACACAACGTGACCAGCCTCACACCACCATTCCCACGGCTACACCTACTCTCATTGTCCGTCCACACCTTTGCTGAGATGTACTGTACCTTCACATAGTGAATCAAAGGGACCCTCTCCTTTCTTAAGTTACTTTTGAAAGGTTTTAAACAGAGCACTGAAAAAATAATACAACTGCTTACCTCCTACCTAGAGAAATACAAAGCCTCATTATTAATCAATCCACCTCAATACGTAATATTGGACTTTTAACAACAAAATTATCAATCATACTAAAAGCCAAGAAGCACCGTAACAGAACAAAAAGAAAACAAACATGAACTATCCAGTCTGAAGATAGAACCAGGATAAGAACTGACTCAATCTTGACATGGATGCTAGAATTATCAAGCTGAGAGTTAAAAACAACTGTAAGCAGTACACTAATACCTTTGCTAGAAAAACGAGACAACACCCCAGAAGAAATGGGTAGTGTAAGAAGACACACACAAACAAGGAAAGGTAGAACAGTGGCTACAAATGAAGCGAACGCCTTCAATGAGGTCTTAGCAAACTGATTACAACCAATTAGTGATCTTAAAGATATGTCAATGGAAACTTAATTTTAAATATGGGGGGGGGGGTGACAAAATATCACATCATTTTGGGAAAAAAGCAAAAGGTGAAACTTTTCCAAAATGATAAGGAACAACTTGAAGAAATAAAGAGCAATAGCTCACAGAAATTTATGACACACATAATAGATCCAGAGAGTGCACAGACCACAAGACAGACAAATGCAAAATAAATAAATAAATAAATAAATAAATAAATAAATAAATAAATAAATAAATAAATAAAAGCTATACCCAGTCTTTGCATATAGTGTACAAAACAAAAAATGGAATTTTAAAAACATCCTGGGGGTGGGGTGTGAGGACATTTTAACTACAAAAGCTAAACAAGAAATAGGAACAAGGTGGAACACACAGTACTTAAAAGTAGAAATTGTCCATGAAAAATCCTGAACCCTGTAAAATTATTCTGAAAACTGAGAGAGAAATAAAGACTTTTATTACAAATAAATAAATAATTAAGAGGGGGCAAAAACCCAGTAATGTCAGAAGTTTGGATCTACGCAAACTGTACCTGAGAAGCAAGATATGAATGTAAAACAAAATATTTTTATTTCTTATTCTTATCAAACAGGTAAGAGCTTGTTAAAGATGTCTCCAATGATGCTGGAGAGACGGCTCAGTGGTTTC